AATTCCAACGAATACAATGGATTTTATAATAGATACAACAATTATAATGGATACAACAATGGATACAACAATGGATACAATCCTTTTAACTACCAATTAGGAACTGCATATTGAATGATTCATAGATGACTTTATAACAATGATTTTTTTATTAAAGAATCAACAGCCAAATAACCTAAAACAAAATTATATGCATTTTATAATTGTGCTTTTTATTGTAATATATTATAATATATGTAATAATTTTATTATTTGTTTGTATGATTGATTTAAATAAAACTGCTTTCCTTGATTATGATTTAGCATTTGAAATCTTTGTGTTTAATACTCAATTTCTTGTAGAATTTGAATCAAAATTACCATAATTATAAATTATTTAATATTGAAATTAAAATTTTAATAAAATTACTATACCCCATAGTATAGTGATATACTATACCTTATACTGTAAGAATTTGCACTGAAGATGAGACATACCTTAGCCTCGAAATGTTTCTAACCAAAAATTGCAGAAATATGTTGAATTTCTACTAAATAATAAATAAGAATAAAAAATGTATTATTTTCATTACTAAAATTTTGGGTTTTATACAAGTAAATAATTTCTGTACCTTCATCGCCTTCAAATGTAAGATCTGTATTTGGTATATAAAGTATCAGAGCCATTTACTGTATACATTTTTATATAATTTATTTATTTTGAAGGCAATCTTTGAATAAAGGTTTATTGTTAGCGTCATTAGAAAATTGTTGATTTGGAATTGTGGATTGTTGATTTAAAAACTATTAATTTCATCAATTAATTTAATCTCAAATCTTATTGATTAAGTAGATTATTTACACTTGTCTTAAGGTAAAATGCCACGAACAACAACTCATTTTATACACTCATAGCCTCAAAATATTTCAAACATCATGAATTTTGAGAATTTATTTGTATTTTTTCAAAATTAGGAATCAAATAGACTGGTTGAAAATTAATTATATTTGAAAAAATTAATGTGATACTAAGTTGTTGAGTCTAAAACTGATAAATAAATGAATGCATTATATAATGAAAAAAACATAAATTGTATTTGAATTTATTTTTATTCCAAAATTTACAACCAAGTGTAAATATTTACAAATTGATTATTTCTTATAGAAGTCCTCCTAAGAGACCACTTCCTACGGTGTCTCCCAAACCACCCAGGACACCACCTAATACTACATTGCCCACATGATCAGTCAAACCATGTCCATTAACAGTGCTGGATGAACTTCCAGACGAAGAATCCATTTTGTTTATCCTTTTATTAATGAACATAAAAATTAATAATAAAATAGATCAAACTATCAAAATTTTCACCAATTAACTTGAAAGTACTTACATTTTTGAAATAACTTTCTTTTGGTCTTTAAGTTGGTCTGGAAAAAATGAAATTGATATTAAGAACTTACTAAATAATTCAACTTTGTAGCTAAAAGGTAAAGAACTTGTATGAGTTATCTACTACTATTAGCATACTGAAATATTGCAGAAATACCTTGCATGATCTCTTGTTGTTCTTCTGGATCCAATAAGTAGGCATATCCATTCATCGGAATGCCCATACCCATCATACCATTAGCTAACATAGCATTGCTCAACATAGGGTTCATCATCATATTATTTCCCATCATGTTACTATTGGAATATTCCATTTGCATGTTTCCAAATCCATCAGAATAGTATTGGTTAAATTCGGTTCCAGTAAGTCCAGTTTGGTAATTTACTTCACTTTCTATAGGATTTCCGAACATGTCATATTGAGTACTTTGCACAGACGTTTGCACATTTCCATATAAATCGGTTGTTGAAACTTGGGTTTGGCTATTTCCGAACATATCCATTACCGATTGAATGTTACTTGCGCCACCGTCAGTTAATTGGGTAGATTGGATAACACTGTTCCCGAATTGATCAGTTGAGATAGATGTTGAATCTGAAATAATTTGTGATTTTTTCCGTTAAAACAATACCTGCATTTATCTTTGATTGATGTTAAATTTTGCTATTTTACTTTAGTAGTATTCATATACCTCCATCATATAATAGTCCATTCATTAGTGCACTATTGACCATTCCATTTGCTAGTGCTCCATTTTAAACTCCATTTGTTAACGCACCATTGACAATTCCATTAGTCAGTGCGCCAGTGGTAAGTCCGTTAAGTGCACCATTTGTAACTCCATTAAGGGCACCATTTGTAACTCCATTAAGTGCTCCATTGGTAACTCTAGTTAGTGCACCAGTGGTAAGTCCGTTGAGTGCACCATTTGTAACTCCATTAAGAGCTCCGTTAGTAATTCCATTTAGTGCTCCATTGGTAACTCCGTTCAGTGCTCCATTGGTAAGTCCGTTTGAGAGTCCATTCGTTAAACCACCAAAACCCATGCCACCATTCAATAATCTAAACATATGTATAAATATGTTCGCACATAACACATTATTACAATAGCCATTATTTAAGTTTAAAGGGCTATTTTTTCAATTGTTTTGTATTTTTGCAACTTACCACATACTAAAGTAATTTTACAAATTTTACTTACCCGCCAACCTGTGGTTTAGGCAATCCTAAAAGCAACACAATAATTTGAAAAACGACAAACGTTTAATATAAAATATTTTTTAGCACAATCATTATTATTACTTACCATGGTTTTGCTTGATTGACAGAACAAAAATCAAAAAAATACCCAAAGATCTCATTTCGCTGATTGCTATGTCAAAAGCCAACGAAAATAAATACACAAAAAACTTTGGCTTCAGATTTTATATTTACCACTGTTATCAAATATTTATAAGACCTAATAAAAATCGTGAGAGAATTTCTCGTGTTTTAGAATAAGAATCACGTAATTCACATAATCTCACAATTTGGTAACTGTTCAAAAATTTAGTGATAAAGCATAGTTATGAACAGGTAATCATAAACGAAATAGTTTCTATTTTCAATATTGGTTAAATAACACGAATATTATACAATTCCACGTTTTTGTAAAACATAATTATATTTTTAAATAGATAATGATAATGTTTTTTGTTCAAACAGCAAGCAAAACTTTGCGCGTTCACAAGTACATGCATTGGATGTTAAGTTTGATTTGTCCGAAACAAAAATTAAGAAAAAAACAGTTCTCGAAATGAGTGCAGTTTATTTAGAATAAGTGGTACTATAAACAATTTTTTTAGATATATAAATACCCTAAATCATTTTAGTTATTATTATAATTCAGTTGAATCATGTTTTCTTTATGTTGTTACATGATAAATACTTATGGATATTTGCTTAAATAATTCCTAAGTCTGAAATTCCTAAGTTGTCTCCAACATCACCAAGAACATCTTTAAAAAGTAAAATGCCAACATGTCGGCCCAAAGAAATCTTATTATCCTTCGATGAACTTCCTGAAGTATCCATTTTGTTTATCCTTTAAAAAAATAAAAAAACGATTCAATCAATAGGAATCACATAAGAAATAAATAATAATAAATTTTTGAAATAAATTTTTATGTATTTTTAAAGCAATTTTTATATTTTTATAATTTTATGAGTATTCTAATTCAATTAAATTCACAACTTTTCTATGACAAATGGACAGCAATCTGTTGTAACACATCTGTTGTAATATAACACTTCTATATGGAAACAAACGAAACATTACTTACATTTTTGAAATAACTTTTTTTGGTCTTTCAGTTGGTGTGAAAAAAAAAGATGAAATTGATAATGAAAAAGTTTTTAGCTTAATAATAAGGAATTTGATTGATTTATTTATAATCATCAGTACAGTCAAATATTACAGAATTACCTTGCATGATCTCTTGTTGTTCCTCTGGATCCATTAAGTAGGCATATCCATTCATCGGAATTCCCATACCCATCATACCATTGCCTAACATAGCATTTGCTAACATAGGATTTATCATCATATTATTTCCCATCATGTTACTATTGGAATATTCCATTTGCATGTTTCCAAATCCATCAGAATAGTATTGGTTAAATTCGGTTCCAGTAAGTCCAGTTTGGTAATTCACTTCACTTTCTATAGGATTTCCGAACATGTCATATTGAGTACTTTGCATAGACGTTTGTACATTTCCATATAAATCAGTTGTTGAAAATTGGGTTTGGGTATTGCCAAACATATCCATTACCGATTGAATGTTAGATGCTCCAGTGCCATCATATTGGGTAGATTGGATTGCACTATTGCCGAATTGATCAGTGGAGATAGATGCTGAGTCTGAAACAGTTCATGATTACTTATGTTTATTTGCAGTTGATATAAAATTTGCGTATTGCACTTTACTAGCATTCATATACCTCCATTATATAATAGTTGATTCATTAGTGCACCATTAACCATTCCATTTGTTAGTGCACCATTTACAACACCATTTGCTAATGCACCATTTGCCAGTCCATTTACTAATACACCATCGGAAATTCCATTAAATGCTCCATTGGTAACCCCATTGAGTGCACCATTGGTAAATCCATTTAGCCCACCATTTGTAACTCCATTTGTTAAACCACCAACACCCAGTCCACTATTTAATACTCTAAACATTTGTATAAATGAGTACATTTTTTACTACAAAAATTATTACAATACAGAACCATTAAAGAAATAAAATAGATTTTACAAGTTTTACTCACCCGCCGAGTTGTGGTTTAGGCAATCCTATAATCAACATAATTGATCAGAAAAATCATAATTCAAAATATCAGTTTATATAATAAAATCAAATGTCAAAAGAAATCCAATTTAAAATTATTATTATTACTTACCATGGTTTTGCTTGATTAACAAAACAAAGGCCAAAAAATGTCCAAAGATCTCATATTGTTGATTACTTTGGAAACAATCAATAAAAATAAATGCACATAATATTGGCTGCAGATTTTATATTCACCACTGTCAACTAATTATTTATAAAATTTAATAAAAATCGTGAAAGAATTTCTCGTGTTTAAGATTTGTAAGCACATAATTTCACGTAATTTACATGCTCTCACATTTTGAAAAATTTTATGGTTATTTAGGATGATCATAAAAAACAGATGAGTCATATACTAAATATTTTTAACATAACAAATTTTATACAACACCATCAATATTATTATTATTAGGTACGATACCATATTATATTTTAAATTTTTGCGAATAGTGTTTTTTGTTATAATAACACACACACACAAATATATATATATATATATATATATATATATATATATATATATACAGGGTGGCTGATATGTATTGCAACCAATTTCAGACCGCTATCATTTCTAAACCGCTCATCAGACAGATGACAGATTTATTCCAGTGATTGTTTATTTAATTGTTTACAAGCGTACAAAAGCATTTTGATCTATTGCATTCAGAAAAAAAGTTATTCGTGATGGAAGTCAAGCGTGATAGTGCGATTGCTTCATACTTGGCTGAAAAACCTTAGGTGGCTATATTTCGAGCCCTCCAGTATTTAAATGCGAACAAATATTTTGTTTCTCGTACCATATCTCGTAACGGTGATACACTCAGTGTTGCACCGCGTCCAAAAAGTGGACGCAAAAAAACACTAACAACCCCAGAAATGATCCAAAAAGTATAGGCAAAAATCAATCGAAATTCGTGTCGCAGTGGTAAAAAAATGGCCCGTGAGCTGAACATATCGCTAAAACGGATGCAACACATATTGAAAAATGAGCTTGAACTAAAACCATTGAAGATCCAAAACGTGCAAGAGCTCATTGATGCACAAAAAAAAAGTTAGACAGAAAGAAGCTAAGGGGTTGCTTCGCTTGCACGAAAGTGGCTAGTTACCGAATTTGGTTTTCTCAGATGGGAAGTCCTTCCAAATCGAGCAGTTTGTGAACAAACAAAATGATAGGGTTTACTTGCCAAAAAGGTCAGCTAAAAATTTACACCTTCGATTGACCACCAGAACTCGAGCGCCGCCGACGGTAATGGTGTGAACCACCGTAACGGCCGATGGTGACATTCCACTCTTATTCATCGACCGTGGGATCAAAATAATTGCCGAAATTATCGGGAAAATGTCTTAAAGGCAGTATTGAAGTCCTGGGTAGACAAAAATTTTGATCGCAGACCATGGTCATTCCAACAGAACTCAGCACCATCAAACTCAGCACGCGCCTACCAAAAATGGCTTATAAAAGAGGTTTTTCGCTTCATTTCCATCGCACAATAGCCACCAAGATCTCTGGATATAAATTTGCTGGACTTTTGTGTCTTGGACATTTTGAAGAGTAAGGTTCGCACTAAAAAATACCAAAGTGTCGATCATCCCAAGAAGGCGCCTCGCCGGGAATGGGCCAAAATACCCCAGAGCCACTTTCGTGCAGCGTGTTATGGTTTTTCTGCCGTTTGAAGGCCATAATTTGTGCCAAAAGTGGCCAATTGGAACAAATATGAACAAATTCTGAAATTTGATGTTATTTCTGATATTTTTGCTTTTGAACAATGAAATTTAAAATGAAAATGACAAAGTTATAGCGCTTTACTTTGTTGCAATACATATCAGCCACCCTGTATATATATATATAAATATATATATATATATATATATATATATATATATATATATATATATATATATTGAAGCAATGTCCCGAAATTATATTTTCACTTGTAATCATTTATGATGTATAATCCCAAATGAATTTATGATATCACCACTACTCGATATCATGCTGTCTTAGATACGTGAAGTGGTTATAATTAATAATTAATATGCTGTACATAATAATTATTGTTGTTCATGTAGTTACACATTATAAATATTCTTTTCTTAGGAATTTGAAAATAAACTTATGTTTATTGCAAGTAATTAATGAATATAATTATCTTTGGGTAAGGTTGAAATTATAATGTAATAAACATATAAAATTCATAAGAAAATTAATAAATCTTAATGCCTATACATAAATATGATAACTTTAAATAATTGCCATTAGTCTAATCAAACTAATAGTTCTACTCAACGTCGCTGTTTCGCATTCAACCCAACAATTGGCCTATATGATTTACATATTTTTATGAAAAGATAACCTCTAGTTTCTTTTTGTAATGATTTTGATAGAAGAATTTAGAAGAATTGATAGCAGATCGAGAAAAGGCTGTTTTTGCTTCGCGCGAAGAACTTGAAAAGTATCGACACTGGGCTGCAGATTTGGATGACGGAAAAGTGCAGAGTTTATAATAATTAATAATTAAGTGAAGAGTTTATAATAATTAAGTACATTAATATAATATTTATATATATATATATATATATATATAATATAATATAATATTAATTAATAAAATTTAATCACATTTTATTGAACTATTTATAAATTTATAAAATGAAATTAATAAAAATAAATGATATATTTTACCTTGCAGCAATTCGAAAAAAGATTGTAATCACTAGGAAACTTCTTGAACTATATTTTCAGGTACAAATTAAGATAAGTAATAATGTTATCAGTGATGAGTAGTTTATATATATATATATATATATATATATATATATATTTATAATTCACAAATTAATGAATTAAAAACTATATTATTGAAATCGTTCAAATTTGAAATTTATTTTTTCAAATCATACATTAACAGAGATTCTATTAAAATTTCCTGAAATCAGCCCAAAAATCCCAATAAGCCATTACTATTGGTTAAACCTAAACTGCCTAAAAGGCC